TAGCTTTGAATGTCTGTGGGATTAGCAGTCACTGAAACCAGATGCTGCTTTCAGTGTTTGCAGCACTGGGAACTTTTGCCGTGGCTCTTACTGCAAAGTACGCAGGGCATTTCCTTAGTACTTTGATAGAATGGGGGTTATGTTTGGAAGACAGAAGAGAAAGACATTTCTTTCTTTCACTAGCTGGGTCTTCTAGTTTTGTTCTGTTATTGCATTTTTTGTTTGTTTGTTTGTTTGTTTGTTTTGTTTTTTGACATTAGTTATTTTCATTGGTGATGACCTTGAATAACCTTAAGAGGAGGTCTAAGTCCTGACAAAATAAGAGATATGATCATCTCTACAGATAAAATGGGCAGAAAGAATATTCTGTAAGCCCCAGTGTAATGTTCATATTACTCTTCATTCTGGAATAACCAGGAAAACCATTCCCATCCACTTCTTATTCGTTTTAAGTAGTCCCAGTTTAAATGCTCATCCTCTTTAACTAAATAATAATGTTTATTTTGTTTTCAACTTTTTAAATGTGTGTGGGTATTTCGGTTATTTATCTATTGTTGTGAAGAGACATCATGACTAAGGCAACTTCCAAAAGAATGCATTTAGCTGGAGGCTAGCTTCCAGAGAGCAAGTCCATCCATGATCATGAGAGAACAAGGCAGCACGCAGGCATGATACAGAAGCTGAGAGCCCACATCTCTTCTGAACGTTAGAGGCTGGGAGAGTGAGACTAGGCCTGGAGTGGGCTTTTGAAACATCAAAGTCAGGCCCGGAGCGACACAGCTCCTCCAACAAGGCCACATTTCCTAATAATTCCCCAAACAGTCCATTGACTAAGGACCAAGTATTCAAATATATGAACCTATAGAAGTCATTTTATTTTTTAAGTTTATAAGATTCATATAATGGCTTTGCTTTTTTTGAATGAAAAATGTCTCAAAAGAAGTCAGACTTTGGCTTTTTCTTTTGCTTGTGAGTGTGTGTGTGTATGTGTGCTTGTGTGTGCACGTGCACATGAGTATATGTGTGTAGTGTGTATATCTGTGTGTATGCATGTTTACATATTTGTGTACACGTATCTGTGCATGCCTATGGAGACCTGAAGTTGAAGTTTGGTGTCTTTCTCAGGTGCTCTCAGTTTTGTTTATTGTGAAAGGTCACTTACTGAATTCAGAGTTCTCTAATTCCAGAGAGTCTAGCTGACCATCTTGCCTCAAGAAACCTGTCTCTGCATTCCCAGTGCTGGGATTACAGGAAGGCTGCAACATCTGCTTGGCCTTTAGCATGGGTGTTAGGGATCTGACCTCTGCTTCTATTGAGTCACTACCTGGGCCTGGCTTTTACATTTGCTTATGATAATTTGCAATAGAAACAATTCAGATACATTCATTACAGAATAAGTTTATGGAGGCTGACTTGCTATTTGAAAGCTTTGAAAATACATATTTCTGTCTTCTCAATTGTATCTTTAAGAATGATTTCTAGTAGTGAATGGTATTACCATTTTAGATAAAATTTCTAGTTTGTGAAAGGGTTTTCATGCTACAGAATGAAAAACAGCAGTTTCTGTACCTTCACTTCTCTCTCTTTCAAATACTATATATGCAAAATATGTGTAGAGAGCACTTAACCTCATAAAGATGTAGACACATGTGCTCACACATTAACATGCATACACATAGACACACATATATGTGCATGCCTGAACACAAATACCCACAAGCAAAAGTCTTATTAAAAATAAGCTTTGACTGATAAGGGTATTAATTATAGCAATCATAATATCTACTTTGTGATGTTGATATTGGTGGTGGACATGTACTATGGGGTATATGTACACTGGGGGTATATGAGAGATTTCTTTAAGTTCTGCTCAATTTTTTTAGTGAACCCAAAACTACTATTTTACAAACTAAAGGTTATTAACTGGCTGAGGTATATTTCAAACAGCAAAGCACTTAAGTGCCAAGTAGGAGAATTAGCTTTGAGCCCACATATAAATGTCTGCTATAGTAGCATGCCCTTGTAATGTCAGCCCTGAAGCTCATTAGCCAGTCAGTCTAACCTAACTGGTGACCTACTGGCCAATGAGATACTATGTGTCAAAGATGGTGAATGGCATCCCCAAAGTTAGTACTCAAGTTAACTCTTCCACCTCCACATACATGGACATACATGTGCATGTACACAATTCCTCCCACTGGCACCTGCCCACACATGAACACATACACACACATTAAAAATACAATTGAAAAGTCAATGTTATTAAAATAGCCGTTGCAGCTGGGCGGTGGTGGTGCACGCCTTTAATCCCAGCACTTGGGAGGCAGAGGCAGGCGGATTTCTAAGTTCGAGGCCAGCCTGGTCTACAGAGTGAGTTCCAGGACAGCCAGGGCTATACAAAGAAACCCTGTCTTGAAAAACCAAGCCAAAACAAAAAAAATAGCTGTTGCAATGTTCTTGTGGAGAGACTTATTGTTTAAGTTAGCTACTTCAGATAAAGCTCCTTTGGCAATATCCCACTCAGTAAGGATGCAAGTCTTCTATATTTTGTAATACACATTAGAACAAAATTCACTTGAATGAGAGAGAGCATTGTTGGCTTCAGCAGTCAAATGTGACATAATTGATTTGCAACAACTGTGTGGTTCATGGTACATTAATGGTTCGTTGCCTTTGCTGAGTTGGCCAGTTTCTCTTCTCAGTTTTGTGGTTCATATCCAGAGGAGAAGGGACATGACATTTTGGTGTTGCAGGTCATGACATTCACATGTCCCCAGAGTCATGTTGGCTGCAAGTGTGAATGCCGAAGCCACACTCTGGAGGATACACTGAAGGGGAATCATTATGTGGGCGAAAGAAAACTAAAAGCCAGAACTGCACAGTGGTGCTTCTCCTGACTTTGCTTGTCTTTGGAGGGTCTTTGTATGCAGTTTTTCTGATACATTGGTTCATGGGAAGTCACCACTCTTGAGAGGACACATCACTCTTTGTCCACTCTTTGTCTGAAATCTGTGCCAAGCGTACTCTGCCTTTGTAGTAGATACATAAATTCTTAGGGCCTACTTGTTCAGTTATAGTATCCTTTGAATCAGGTTGTCCTCCATTGCCTCCTGATAGGGCAGGAGGGGAAGATAAAGCCAGTGCTCTAAGCTTCCACGATAGCAACTCATGTGCTCTGAGACCTTTAGAAGGTCGGAACGGACCTGTGCTAGTCCATGATCCTTAACGATGCTTCTCTAGTGTGCGTTCACTTCCTGTTTCCTTCCATCACCAAACACTCTATTAAATTGTTAGCAACTCAGTGATTTTGCCTTGCATAAGGAAAAATTACTCCGTTTATTGCTATTTCAAGCTTTGCACAATCTTACAAAGATGCTGCATGTGCAACTTAAAACAAACAAACAAACAAAAGAGCAAAAATCTCTTACAGAGTTTTCATGCTTTTGAAGTCCTCTGCCTGTCACTCCAGCTTATCTTAAGAATTCTAAAGTGCTGAGACAGTGCTCTAGGAAAGTCCTTGTTGCCTTACACTTAGTCTCTAAACATACCCATTTTTGAATTTGAGAAATACAAACAACGCTGAAACTGTAAGAGTTCCACACTGACAGCTCCCTGGATTTCTAGAGCAAATACATGTAATGGCGGTAGTCTTGGGCATCCTCATAGACTCTGCATAGGACACAGTGTTTAGGAAAGAAAGCCATCCACGCCAAGGCACAGCATAGGTCTGCTTATAGGATCTGAGCTGGGGCTTGTTCTCCCTGGAGCTATACTTAGGTAACAGAGAGTCTGTTGAATAAATGAGTAAGTTAATACAATTCCAAGTGTCAGGGAAGATTTAATCAGACTGGGTCAAAGCACTTTAAATGAATCATTAGGAAAAAGCTACATCTTATTATAGAATTGATCAAAGTGGAACTTAGATACCCAAGGCTCTACATACGTTACTGTACAAGAGAAGAAACTGAGAGCAAACACGCAAACCATGTTCAAGGTTAGGAACCTTGCAGAATTAGTACTGCAGCCATGTCTGCTTCCCCTGTTTTCTCCTACACAGTTGAGTTTTGTCTAGTCATGTCAGCAGGATCTGTTGAAGAAACTGTAATACTTTATTGGAAGAGAGGGATTCAATTTGAAAATAATCAATAAAGCCTCAAGAATGAATCTGATCTTCAAGTGAGTTTAAATAGATCGCCCCCCCCCTCAGTTTAACAAGGTTTAACCATATTTGGTTTTAGTTTGGGGATGTAGTTGATGTAGCTAGTTAATCAAACTGTAATGTCACAAGAGGAGAGGATTAAACTTGTTAGAATAGGTGTTGTTCTTAAAATGGTTGAAACAACAATGTCCTTCATTATGAAGTAAAGATGAAGTAAAGACTGAGTGTGAGATGGTGAGACCAGCTTGGCATAGACGGAAGATTTGACTGGCACAAGTCACCATGGCCTCTGGAACTTGTTTGTGTGGCTTTCTAGTCTTTTAGCACTATTTTTGCCATGTGCAACTATGAAGCTATGTCACTATATTTGGCATAAGTATGTCTTTTTATAGCTAGAAAATATGATAGCTTTGAAATAAAAGGGTTTCCTGAGTTATTTCTAAATATTTTGAAGATGTCTGAGGGCAAATATTTATTTTATGCAATCAAAGCAGCTACTTTGTCATTCTCGATTCAGGTGTTGACTCAGACTTTTTATGGATGTGGATACCGCAGACGACAATTAATATCTACCACTGTATATCCATCTATGTATCTCTTTCTGTCTTTCTATCACAGTCTCTGTCTCTATCTACCTCTGCCTCTGCCTCTCTGCCTCTGCCTCTGCCTCTGCCTCTGCCTCTGCCTCTGCCTCTGCCTCTGCCTCTGCCTCTGCCTCTGCCTCTGCCTCTGCCTCTGCCTCTGCCTCTGCCTCTGCCTCTGCCTCTACCTATCTCTACCTCTTTCCTTGGCATCATCATTCATGAACACTTAAATTACTAAGGTCTTTTCATCCTTTCAGGTAAATGTGTTACCAGAAATACAGCCTCAGCTTTGCAGAAAAGAAGGCTTGTGTGAAATCATCAGAAGATTTCCAGGTAACCTTTAGTTTGCTTCTTTAGGCATGAGAGTCGGACACCCACAGGCTACTGTATAAGTAACAACTAACAAGGCCTCAGAGCAGCAGCCTCAGCTCCCCCTTCTATAAACTCCATCCCCATGTCTTTCCTGACACCAAGGCTTTGCCAATAGGAAGGCCCTGATAATATCTCATATAGCACAACTGACACTTTTGTCTTTGGGTTTTCCCTCTGAGTTGCCAGGCATCTGTTTCTATTTGTCTTATTTGTTTCTTCTTGAAGTAACTCTGCTGTAGTTTAAAAATAATTGTTGTGGAGGTTCTTAGTTATATACAACTTGAAGTTTTACCAGGATTTATGAATGTGTCATTGTGCTAGGGTTTGTTTGGTTGTGTATTTATTTATTTATTTATTTATTTATTTATTTTTTATCAACTTGACACAGGGCTGTACCATCTAAGAAAGGGAAAGTTAAACTGAGGGGAAAAATTCCATCAGATTGGCCTGTAGGTAAAACTGTGGGTCTTTTTCTTCCTTAACATTGGATGTAGCCCAGACCACTGTTGAATGGGCTAGATGGTTCTGGTTTATATAAGAGAGTAGACTGGACATAGACAACGAGCCAGTAAGTAGCACTCTCTATGGCCTCTGCCTTAGCTCCCATCTTCAGTTCTCGCCCTGACTTCCCTGTAGCTGTCAGGTAAAACAAACATTCTCTTCTTGAATTGCTTTTGCTCCAGGTGTCTTATCATAGCAATGGGAAGCAAACCAGAGCAGTTATTCTGGTCACAAAATTTTGTTTTTCCTCTCTAAAATTCTGTAACTTTGTTTAAGGCAGGACACTCGGTGAAGACATTCTATCTTGACTGTATCAGGAATTTGGGAGAAAAATCACTACCTCTCCTTTCTGCACAGTTCCCCCAGTGGAAAAGACATCAGAAGGGAAGTGGGACACTAGAGATGAAATAAGTCTTCACAGACAAAATTATAGCCTACGTTAGAGCTCAGTGGTGATCATACCTCAAATTTCTTGTTTAATACCCATTAGTGTTTGCACCCTTAGGAAGTGTTTTACTACATAATTAAAATTTAGATCTGCATGACTTAGTTTGTGCATTTATTAATTTATGAATTAGTAGAATCAAGAAAACATGGCATACTGTCACTCATTGGCTTCTCCATGGATTGAGATTCTGCCTCCCAGTCAAACATCAGCCCCATTACGCATGCTCTAATGTACAGACAGCAGGCTCCTCTCTTTAATTCACTTACTAGGAATTAAAATGTACATGAATCAGTATTTTTTCTTTAAATTTAAGACACATTTCTATAATAAAGAGTGTGCAAATGTTTTTTTCTGTTTGTGTTGTATCATAGCACACTTAGGGATGACTGGGTAGACCTTAGCTCTTTGATTGTATTCTTTTAACCTAAAGCCTGGTTTTCTCAGCCTGACCTCAAACACTCTGAGTAGCCAATACTGTCCTTGAATTCCTGATTCCCCTGCTTTTAATCCCCAAGTGCTTGAGGTTGTAGGTGTGTGCCATCACCCCTGGCTTGAAATCCCCTTCCCACCCTACTTCTCCTGAAAGGGCTGGGACTTGAACCAGAGCCTTGTGCATGCTGAGAAAGCACTCCACCACTTAACTATATCTGAAGATACTTTATTTATTTTATAAAACTACAATGTGGGTCTATGGAGATAACTCAGCCAGTAAATTGTTTCTCTTGTAAGCACGAAGACCTGGGTTTGAGACGAAATAGCAATGACTCGACCATTCAGTACGCTCCAGGTACAATCACAGACTCTGTCTCAAACAACAGGCTAGAGACTGATGGCGGAGGACACTTGATGCTGCGCTCTGTCCTCCATACGCAGGTGCACATGCATGCACGCACATATAAACACTCAAATAATTAAAAAGTAAACCAAAAAGACAATGCTCTTCCAGGCTGAGTAAAAACAATATTTCCACTACTAAATATTAATAAATCCTAGAGTTAGGATCCTTCAGTTAGGATAATCCCTACCACCAAATTGTCTGCATCTTGAACAAAGCTTACAAGTTTTCAAGCAATTTTTTGCTCTTTTTCCTGCTGCAATTTATATGTAAGAGTGTTTGATTTGGAACAAAAGCCGTTAGCATCATGGAAAACAAAATGACAGTATAGGAGTGAAATGGGAGCGGCATCCGGAGTATGAAATCTATTTAAATATACATGCACACATACACATATGTGCCTCAAGGAAGTCTGATACATTACTTTTTTCCTTGCTTCTATAGAATTAGGAAGCTTTTTCTGCCTTCTTCAGTTTGGAAATCATTTTACTCTGAAGAATAACACCAGTTCTAGAAATATGTAACCCTTTTTGCTCTCTCTGTCTCTCTGTCTCTCTCTGTCTCTGTCTCTTTCTCTCTCTCTCATGCTAATTTTTATTAATTTTTGTGAGTAACAATATAGTTTTGTGGGATAACTTCTCCTACCGTGTTGCCTTTCTTGAACTGAAGATAATTTTCCTAAGTTCCTTCCTTTAAAAGTAACGTACCTACAGTATAAATTTATGATTTGAATTTCATGAACAGTAGCTTTTGTGGTACTTTTTTTTCCTGTGAATACACAAAATATAGAATACACTTATTCATAAATTGTGAATGTTGACTATTTAATAGTATGTGCAGAGTAGGTAGTAACACCCCAATACTAGAGTATATGAGATCATTCAAGGGGTGAGGTGGGCTGAGGATGGTGATGTTTGTACCTCTAATCCCTGGACATGGCAAGATTGTGATCTTCAGACCAATTCGGTTACACATCAACACACTGTCTCAATAGAAATCCATGAAAATCAGATAACACATATGAAACATTTCCCTCTGCTGAGCCAGCTGGGGTACAGGAGACAGCATCAAACCTAAGGGACACACAGAGGGCTGAGTAATCTTCATGGGTCACAAACAAAATGAATACACTTGTACAAGATGGAGGAGGAGAAAAAGATAGAGATTTGTTGGGTGGAGAAGGTTTTGCTGGAACAGTAAGGAGATAAGTGACAAGAGCGGTTGCTGTACAGACATATATGTAAAGGTTTCTAAAGCCATGTTTGATTAACAGAAAAGATCATGAACATAAGATGGTGCCTATGAAATGTCTAGCATGGTGTTTGTGATATAAAAGCGCTGGATAAGCAGCTATTATTTTTTGGAGAAAAAACAAACAAACATAGAATACCAAAATTAAATATAATGCTACATAGAATAGGTATCTTTATTTAAGGTCAAAATAACCTGTACTATTTTAGACCATGTTTTATTTAGAGGCTAATAAAAGTTTAAAATCAGAGTCTTTCAGCTTTGCCATTAGTTAGCAGTATGAATTAATTAAGTTTACGGGATTTTTTTTTTTGGTTTTAAATCTGTAAGTATGGATTATAGGGCCTATTTCATAATTTAGTTTTTAAAGTCAAGTAGAAAATATATGTATATAGATATAGATATAGATATAGATATAGATATATAATATTATATATATAATATGGATATATATAGATATATATATCTTGGTGTATATTATATCTAATACATATGCTTAATAAATGTGGCTGGACTATTCTATTTTTGAAAAATGTAGGAACAACCCCACAGTATTTCTTTTTATGATTTATTATGACAAAAACTTTATGTTTCTATGAAAAATTGTGGTTAAGTGTGAGATTCTTCCCTACTTCACAGCTCACAAGACACCTGCCACACTTTTCTGGATATTGTCAAATGATCTAAAGTGCCTACGTCAGAAACAAAAGAAGGTGGTATTTTCAGCACTAATGGTAGGGAGCAGAGCCCACCATTTGTACCTACTCACCAAGCACTAGTTCACCTTGCATGGCTAGGTGACACCTATAAATGCCATGGGTTGCACTTCAGGAGAGGACTTAGTCTCTATATTTTCTAATCGGCAATGAGCTTGGTTGGTAAAGTGCTAGCTTACATGCATGAAGCTTAGGTTCAATCTCCAGCACTACATAAACACAGGCATGGTGGTACTTGCCTGTAATCACAGAGGTGGAGACAGGAAAAAAATCAGGAAGTTCAAGGTCATCTTTAACTACTTAAGGAACTCAAGGACCACCTGGGTTATTGTAGACACAGAACACTTTCCCTCTTTCCCAGAATGAGATGTCACTTCTATCTTCCAAGACTATTCTTGACATAAATATCTTTTAAAAAATAGTTTGGAAGAAAATTTATTAGTATGTTTGTAAAATGTGCCACAATATAAAAGATGCATGGGCAAGTGTCACCATCAGTTTAAGAGTATTCATGACAAGTTCTCATTCTGAAATATAATCAGTGTGCAATCCTGGGTAACTAGGTTAAGATAGTTTTGCTTCTGAATACCAAGTGGTCAGGAATATTGTAAGATCCCGTGATTACATAGAGACTTGCTGTCTTAGGCTTTGTCTTCAAAAATACATACAGATCAAAATGCCAAGAATGGATGTACTTTGGACCCAGGCAAGTGAAACAGGACAGAGTTTTGGCCTGAGCAGTAGTTTGGTCGGAGATAACAAGTAGGGCTCACACAGTATGTCCCTTTCCCAGCCAGCTTGTACCTGACCTTAGCCTTGTGACTCACATGGGAAGACACACACCCATGGAAAGTTTTCTGGCTAGCGAAAAGATTTATTTTTGTCTTGCCAGTTAATACTTTGCCTTTTGTGGGGGAAAGTTTTTATAGTACTTTGTTGGCTCAAACTTGCTGTCTGTGCTTTTTAAGACATTTTTTTTTTATAGAAAGAATTGCTTTCCCGTATTTGCACTATACAAACATTAACACGATTGTGTGTTGTTTTTGCTCTTAGTGTAGCAACACCATCCAAGAAGCCCTGGTTTAGAGTGTGCCAAGGTTTTTGTTTTGTTTTGAGTATTATTCATTCTTTCAAGTAGTTTTATCTTACGTCTAAGCCCTGGCTTTTGTATGGAACTTTAAAAGGAGACCAAGATGTCCACTCAGAGATA